GGAGGCGTGGGGAAAATACTCACTGGCAGGAAGATCCACGTGTGTATTGTTTACCTCCAACACCAGCCACGTCTTTGTTTTGTTTACATTTTAATCTACTTCAGTTCTTCTTTTCTTTTATTGTAGAGCTCCGATTTTCTGTCTTCGTGTTCTATTTTTGTCTTTCTTTCTTTTCCCTTTATTTTTTTTTTCTGTTTCACATCTTCTCTTTCTTTCCTTCTTTTTCGTTTTATTCTACGTATTGACATGTCTTTAGAAATAAGTGAATTAAATTAGCGAATGGTGGGGAGAGAGAGAGAGAGAGAGAGAGAGAGAGAGACTTGAGGGTTGGGCAGATAGCTATTAAAATCTCTCATTGTCTCTTGAGTGATGAGAGATATGTCACAAGCTCAGTCTCCCCTCCCACCTCACCTCCTTGCTGTGTATGTAATTAATCAGCGGTCACCTTCCCATTCGTCTGACGTGAACAATCTGAGTACAGGTAGCTTGTCTGGGGTGAAAGGCCGGCTGGGTGGGCTGGTGGTGGGTGGCTGGTGGGTGGTGGCTGGCTGGGTGGGTGTGAGTTATGTCAGGTGGTGGGTGTGTGAGGGGTTGTTGGTCAAGTGAGGGCGTGGTTGGGTGGGTGTTAGCCAGGAAGGGTGGGTGGATTTAAAGGAAGGAGGCCAGCATAGAAGGAGATTAAGGAGAGGAATGATGATGGTGAAGCTTCAAGCCATCCCTGCCTTGCTCCTCCTCCTCCTTCCTCCTCCTCCTCCTCCTCCTCCTCCCTCCATCCTCCTCCTCCTCCCTACTCCGCCCTCCTCCCTACCTGCCCTCCCCACCCGCCCCTCCCCAGGTATGGACCAGTGAACGCCCGCGAACAAAAACTAGACCTTGCTGCCGCCTCCCAGCTTGCAACCGGTCCAGTGATGGCTAGTGGAGGCACTGGCCCATCTTAACCCACTCCCGCCCACCCCGCCCACCACTCCAAAGTCTGACCCACTGCGCCCATCCCAAACCACCCCACCCTCTCTAAAGTTCTGACCCACGCCCATTTTGCCTTCTCCAAAACTAAGCCCACCCACCTTTCTCCTTCACTCGGCCCACCCGCCCACTTGCTCACCCCACTGACCTCCGCCCACCTGTAACCCCTAGCCCACCCCACTCACCACAACACAGGTGATCAGAGAGAGAGAGAGAGAGAGAGAGAGGCACCAGCGACTAACAGTAAAGTGTACAACAACTGAACTGGTTAACCCTCATAGGGAGCTTGTCTTCCCCTCCTCCCCGCCATCCATCCATCCCTCCTAGTTCCCCTCCTCCCGTCTCCCCTCTCTCCATTCCTTTCTCCTTTGCTCCTCTTCCCTCTCTTTTACCTTCCATTTTTCCTCGTTTCTCCCTCTTCTTCTATCCCTCTTACTGTGCCCCTCCCTCTTCTTACCCACTCTGTCGTCCCCCTTTCCTCTCCTCCTCCTCTCTCTCTACTCTCCCCTTCCTCCTCTCCTCTTCCCACTTTTTGCCTCCCCCACTCTCTCTTCCAACCCTGTCCCTTATCCCCCTTCCGTTCGAGTATTCTCCTTTCTCACCGTTTTCCCCCACCCCCTCTCTCATTCTCAACCCTCCTTCCCTCTCTCCACCTCTCACCCACTCCTCCTTTCACCTCTTCACTTTCTTCCATGTTTGAGTTACCTTGCTACCTTCCTCCCCCTCTCACCTCTCTCCTTCCTGCTTCTCCTCCTTCCTCCTTTCTTTCCCCTCCTCTATCCTTTGTCTTTTCTTACTTATATTATTAATTATTATTATTATTATTATTATTATTTTTTTTTTTTTTTTTTTTTTTATTCTTGTTATTATTCCATTAATTTATCACCTTTCTGTTACATTCTTATACTTATTGCTTAGTTATCTTATTTACATATTCGGTATTTTGTTTCATTTACATTTATCCAATTACGTTTATCTTTTCATATGGTATTATTCATTTTATTCATTACTTTCATATTTATTCGGACTTAGAAACCTTCCATATCAGGATAGGTTAAAGAAAACTAAACTTGCATTCCCTAGAAAGACGAAGAGGGATATGATAAACTATTTAAGTGGGTGAAAGGAATCAATAAAGGCGATATAGATAAAGTTCTTATAATATCCGAGCATGATAGGACTCGAGCAACGGATTCAAGTTGATAAGTTTAGGTTTAGGAGGATAGAAGAAACTGGTTCACAAATAGGTGGTGGACGAGTGGAACGTTTAGCAACTTGTAGTAAGTGCGGAACTCTGGAAAGTTTCAAAGGAGGCTGGATAGATTCATGGATGATAGAGTGTGGTAGTAACTCTCGACAGGAGCTGCCATGCACAGGCCAACCGGCCTATTGCACCTTTATTTTCTTATGTTCTTATGTACATTTGTTATTCATATATTTACTCGATTATCCATTTTATCTATCTATTTATTTTATTTTATATATTTTGTCATTTATCATCACTTGTTACGGGAAAAAATTATCCTCAGTAAACTTCTGAGATTCTGTAACGTCTGAGTGTGTTTTTGTTCACCGTGATGACTGAGGTAAACTGCAGTGAAGTCTCGAAGTATTTGGGTTTATTTATTTTTTTTTTTTTGTAGCTCGAGACATCAGATTCGTCGAGTAGTAGCTGATAGGAGAGTGAAGTGTAGGTGGAGGATTGCTTCTCCTCCTCTCTCTCTCCATTATAATAAGGAAGGAGGAGAGGAGGAAGAAGAAGAGTGATAAAGAAAGAAAATGAGTAAAAAAAGAAGAAAAGAGGAGAAAAGAATAATATAAAGAAGAGAAGAGAAGAGAAGAGAAAGATGGAAAAATTCATAAAAACAAAAATAAAACTGACAACCCTGATAATTAATGGAGGATCCTGAGTCATTTGTAGGTGGAGCTGTTAGTCCAATTAAGATGTCAACGCTTATAGTCATTTATGAAGTTGCCAGATAGTCGTTTATTAGGTTACTGTCGGAGGAGGAGGAGGAGACCAGGAGGAGGAGGAGGAGGAGGACCAAGGAGGAGGAGGAGGAGGAGGAGACCAAGGAGGAGGAGGAGAAAAGAAGACCAAGGAGGAGGAGGAGGGGTAGAGAAGAGAAGACTAAGGAGGAGGAGGAGACCAAGGAGGAGAAGGAGACCAAGGAGGAGAAGGAGGAGAGAAGACCAAGGAGGAGAAGGAGGAGAGAAGACCAAGGAGGAGGAGAGAAGACCAAGGAGGAGGAGAGAAAGATGAACAATGAAGGAATGTTACAAGATTTATTTTGGTCCTTTGTGTAGAGCCATGTCGGTATATTTCTGAGACGATGACACTTGATGACACCTGTTGACATCTGGTGACACTTGATGACACCTGTTGACATCTGGTGACACTTGATGACACCTGTTGACATCTGGTGACACTTGATGACACCTGTTGACATCTGGTGACACTTGATGACACCTGTTGACATCTGGTGACACTTGATGACACCTGTTGACATTTCTGATGACACTGATGACACCTGTTGACATCTTTGGTGACACTTGATGACACCTGTTGACATCTGGTGACACTTGATGACACCTGTTGACATCTGGTGACACTTGATGACACCTGGTGAGATCTGGTGACATTTGATGACACCTGATGACATCTGGTGACAAGAGGCGACTTTAATAACTATCAAATATAATATTCAATTAATTTATAGACAAACACTGACCGGTACTGTGTAAATAAAGTATACTTGTGTAATTCAATTGCATGTTAACAGCTTTTCTTAAATTTGTAAACATTTAATTAACATTTGCTCCTTTTTTAATTCTACGTGTTTTGTTTTTAATGTGACTTGAATTTCGTGGTTTGGTTAGGTTGGTTGTGTTAAGTTTAGTTTGTGTTGTGGGTTAGGTTAGGGTTAGTTTAGTTTAGTTTAGGTTAGGTTAGGTTAGGTTAGTTTAGTTTAGTTAGGTTAGGTTAGTTGGGTTAGGTTAGTTTGTGTTGAAGAAGTTAGTTGTTAGGTTAGGTTAGTTTAGGTTAGCTTAGTTTAGAGTTAGGTTAGTTTAGTTGTGTTAGGTTGTGTTGTGTTAGTTTTTTAGCTTAGTTTAGGTTAGGTTAGGTTAGGTTAGTTTAGTTTAGTTTTAGGTTAGGTTGTGTTGGGTTAGGTTAGTTTTAGTTTTAGTTAGTTTATTAGGTTAGTTTTTACAGTTAAAGTCGTTATTTTATTGGTCTTTATTATGATAGTTAATTTATAAGTGTGTTATTATGCTTGATTTGTGGCTTAAGGTGAGAGAAGTAGTGGAGGTGGTCTACCATATTGTTCACTTGACCTCAGGCTCGTGAATGTCAACCATTATACACCGTCGGGAATAATGACCACTTGTGTCCAGCTCGATTTTAACCAATTATTTCACTTCTTTTTTTTACTTTATGTCATGAAAAAATATATTGTTGTACTGCTTCAGTGTTTATCATATACCTGTATTAAACTTGGATTCGTACAAATTTTCTATGAATACAGACAGAACAAATCAACTAACCTTTACGTAACCTAAGTAACCTAACCTTATCTAACTTACGTAACCTAAGTAACCTAACCTTATCTAACTTACGTAACCTAACCTAACCTAACCTTATCTAACTTACGTAACCTAACCTAACCTAACCTAACCTAACCTAACCTAACCTAACCTAATCTAATCTATTGATCTAGAAAAATATTCTGAGAAGTTAGGAAATATTAGGTTGGGTCTGGTTGGTTGGTTATGCCAGCCTTACCAAGAGTGTAGGACACCTCAGCCGCTGTGATTGAAGTTGTCTGTGGTTGTGATCATCGTAATTACCTCTTCGTGCACCTCCCCGCCTCACAGGTCACCGCCAGCCGGGTGATTTTTTTCCCCCAACGTTTCACTTATCATGGTCGAGTACATCAGATGGCAACACTAGGTCTTATTTCTTGTTTCCATATTCGCTGATATAATATGTTGGATGACTCATGAGTAAAGTTTAGCACAGTGTGTATGACTTTTTTCAGGTAACATGGCGAGTAAACACAGGTTGTACTAAGAGGTATAAAAAACTAGCCTGTTGGTTCTCCACGACAGAAAGTTTCACCCCGAGCCCAAGTGAATGTTGATAGTGAAGCTGCCGGTGCCAGCGGAAAAGGGTGCCAGTGTGTTGCCTCATGATAGTGACCTGAGGGGCGCGACTCTTACTGCCTCCTCTGAATAATAATGACCAAGTAATAGTGTTGTGGTTGTTGACCCTTGTGTGGTGTTGTACACGGGTGCCGCTGTTGAACTAAAGCGGCCATGAATGGTCCTACAGAACTGGACCTCGCTGGTGTGATGGAGAAGCTGAGGGACAGAGAGAATCCCCCTGAAGGGATGAATCCGTCGACGCGGCCGGTTGTGGTGGTGGAGGGTGTGGAGGTTGACCCGGTGGTGATGGAGGGGGATATCGCGGAGGGGTACTGGGCGGGCATTCCACCCCAGCTGAGTGTCACTAACTGGGGCACCCCGAGCGGACCTTCCAGCGACTCCTGCTCCTCCTCTCGCTCCCCCTCCCTCCTCTCCATGTACTCCGACGGCTCCTGGAATGACGGATACACTACCCAGGCCCCTAACGACAGTGCCCCCGCCAGAGTCAGTGAGCAGTCTCGGTGTCGACACGCCTCCACCTCCATCAGCCACCCTGCGGATCCATGCGAGAATAATTTAGCCAACGCACGATTCTGCGCCTCACAAGATAACCTAGGACCCCAGGCTGACTACACGAAGCGGAAGCACTCCCTCAAAAACATGTTCCTGGATGTGTTTCATCTTGAGTCCAGTCACCGCAAGCGGTCGGCTTCCAGTGCTGAGGGGCGCCACAGGGCCCACTCCAGCGGTGACTCACCAGTCAAAAAGCTCATCTCCAGAATTCGTTCTCGATCCTCCAGTGACCTGTTGAGCCGCAGCTCCTCCTCCGGAAGCGTCGACCTGGAGCAGGAAAAAGAAGTTAACCTGAATCCTGAAGTTAGAGATGGTGAGGTGCTTGGTGTGGACTCGCTCCCTGCCACAGCCATTAATACTCGCCTTGTTGGCCGCTTCCGCAAAAACAATGCAAACCAGAAGAAGCGACGGTGGAGCCTCTTTGACCAGCACATAATGAAGAGTCAAGATAGTCCTCCTGATGAAGCCTCAGAATATAATGTTCCCCTCAAGTATGAGAACGAGAGAGAAGGACAGGGGCGGTGGGTGGTGACGCTGGAAATGCCTGGAGAGTCCAAAACAGACAAAGGAGAGGCTCCTCCAGAAGTCTTCAAGGACTCTAGTGACGCCAGCCATCAGAAGCCACGACTGGTTCGTACTCGCTCCAACTCGGAGTCGACCATTCTCGTTGTGGAGAAAAAACGAAAGAAAAGGAAAGACTCGCGCATGATCGACCGCCTGCTGGACTTTCGGCTCAAGAAGAGCTTATTGCGGGGCAGTCTGCCAACACTCCTGGGAGATAAAGTCTCCAGCCAGCCCGCTGACACCAAAATTCCTTCCAAACTGCTGGAGGATAACGAGAACGTGTTCACCGACAACCTGCCCGTCCCCGGCGACGTCCCCAGCACCTTCAAGACTCCCCGCACACAGTCCATGCAGAACCTCACTGACTACGCGGTCGACGATTACTTCAGCCCGGAGATCGACCGTCGCTACTCTACTGACGACATGGACTCCTATCGAGAGTCGGACAGAAACAAGGAGAACCTGCCCCACTACCTGACTGTCGACCAGTCCAGGAACCGTCGACACCGCTTCTCTATCGACAACCTGTGGAACGCTCTCAAGTAAGTCAAGGCGCCAACACTATTAAGTTTAGTATTTTATTATATAATTTATTACCCTTTCTCTCTCCCTCTTACATGGCCATTTTTTATCTCTTCCTTTTATTTCCAACATTTTATTTATTTTTTACAGGTCTCTTTTGTATATATTTAATTCATCTTATTTATGTTTTAGTTTTTTCTGACTACTGTATATGATTCTTCCATCACCTTTATTATCACGTTATTCTTCTCCATTCTTATGTATTTTATTTTCAGGTTATTTCCATCTATTTATTTTATTATATTTCTTTTCTTTTTTTTTTCTTTTAGTTGACCAAATTCCTCCATCCTATGACGTCATAATTTGTGATTTTTTTTTTTCAGGTATTTTTTATTACGTCACTGTGTCATTTATTTCAAGTTGACGTCATTTCATCCCTTTTCCTTTAGGTGCTGTTTTCCTTCGTTTCATCCATAATCTGTGTTATTTTCTTCTTTCAGTTTTATCATCATTATTCTTATTTACTTTTCTGTTTGATTTATTTTTATCTTGAACAGTTTATTTATTTATTTATTTATTTATTTATTTAGTTGGACATCTGGGTTTTTTTATATACGAGATGGTAGGGTTCACTTTCACTTACTCGTATAATATACTGTATATCGTATCACTATTGCAGTAAGTACACACACAGAAACACATACATATATAGAGAAATACATACACGCATACATACACACATATGGATATAAATACATACACACATACATATATACATAGTACATATATAAGTTTATTGAGGGAGACGAGTCCGGGGTACAGGTATGAGAGTGAGTCTTAAAACGGTGGAGATTGACAGTTACAAGTGTTCGTTTCTCAACACTCCCTCCCTCCCTCTCTCCCTCTCTCCCTCTCTCTCCGCCATCTCCTCCCTCCCTCCCTCCCTACTACTCCTCTCCCCCTCTCTCTCCGCCATCCCTCCCTCCCTCCCCACCTCCCTCCCTCCTCCCCCCTCCCTCCCTCCCTCCTCCCTCTTTCCCTCCTCTTTCCCTCCTCTTCCCCTCCCTCCCCATTACCTCCCCTCCCCCCTCCTTCACCTTCCGGCCATTGGGTAACCAGACATACCCAATGAAGGAGACATTCTCGCCTTCCATCTTCCCTCCTCCGCCTCCTTCTCTTTCCATCTCGCAACCATCTCACCCCCACCCCCCCCTCACTTCCAGACTCTACTGACAGAGACAAACAGGAGACTTCATCCCCCTCTCTCATCGCACTCTACTCATTGTCTCTCCCTCACCCCCCTGACTCTTCTCCTCCTACCATTCTCCTCCCTTCACCCCATCGACACATCAACATTGTGCACTCTTCCTCACACCTCTATCTCTCACTCCTCTTTCCCTCCTCTGCTCTGCAGGCTAGCCTCTCCTGGGTTCTCTAGTAAATGGCCTGAAGTTTCCCATTAACCTAAGTGAAATGGGGGAGGGGAGGAGGGGAAGGGGAGATGAAAGAGAAGAAAAATTAAGGGAGGGGAAGGGGAGGGGGAGGGGAAAGAAGAAGGTGGGGAGAAGGGAGACAGAAAGCGAGGGAGGGAAAGGAGGGAAGGAGGAGGTAGAGAGGAAAGGAAGGAGGGTGAAGGAAGGTGAAAGTAGAGGAGAAAAAATTAAGGGAGGGGGAGGGGGAGAGTTTTCCCTGACCTCCTCACCAAGGTAGATAATACTCTCGTACACCTGAAGCTTCAATATCACACTCAAGATTTCACTTTAACTAATTGCTCCAGATTGTTGTAGATTAGTGAGAGGGGAGAGAGGGAGTGGAGGGGGAAGAAGAGAGGGGGTGGAGGGGAGAGAGGAGGAAAAAGTGGGTAGAGAGGGAATAAATGAAGAGGGGCGTGGAGGGTGGGAGAAGAAGAGGAGTGGAGTTAGAGGAAGGAAAGAGAAGAGAAAGGGAAGTAGGAGAGGGGAAAAGAAAAGAAAGTAGGAGAGAAAAAGATAACAGAAAGAGAAGTGGAAAAGAAAAGAGAAGAGAAAGGGAAATAGAAGAGAGAAAAACAATAAAGAGGGAAGTGGAAGAGACGAGAAAGGGAAATGGGAGAGAGAAAAACAAAAGACTGAGAAATGGAAGAACCGAGAGAAGAGAAGGGGAAGTAGGAGAGAAAAACAATAGAAAGGGAAGTGGAAGAGACACAAAAACAGAAAGGGAAACAGTAGAGAGAGAGAGAGAGAGAGAAGAGAGAGAGAGAGAGAGAGAGAAAAGAAGAGAGAGAGAGGGTAGTAGGATAAAACAGAACCACAGGACTGCCTCCCTCACCTGGCCAAGTTAATAAGACGGTGTTGTTCATCACTTCACCTGAGCCTCGAGATTCTCAAAGATCCCGTAAGTCGATTTGCTTCCCTTAACTCGGGATAAGAGAAAAAGTATTTTTAATTAAGGTTGAGAGAGTCTTAGTTTAATTTAGCATCCATCTTGGCGGAGGAGGCTGTGATGTAAGACCCGTCCCCTCCCCCCTCACACCCACCCCCCCTCACATCCACCCTCCCCTCACACACACCATTAGTAAGTCAGATTAATACGTTTGTCACATCTTAAGGCGAAACTCTTTCAATACGTGATGTCAGGGAAGGAAATTATCAAATGTTTTTAGATTCTGGGTTTTTCCCCCTTAAAACAGGAACTGTGAGGAAGTTGTTTGGCTGGTCTCCTCTGTGTGTGTGTGTGTAATAATAATAATAATAATTAACGGTTTATTGAAGAATAAGGGAGCCAGAAGGCCAGTAATTTATAGCTATATATTTGGGGAATGGTGTGTGTGTGTGTGTGTGTGTGTGTGTGTGTGTGTGTGTGTGTGTGTGTGGATAATACACGTAAGAGTTTAACATTAAAGATTTATATATATATACCAGTTAACATCGTGCCGGTGCCAGGTGATGGATGTGTCATATTGTGCAAAAGGTAAATCCACACCTGCCTTGACCTCCCTCCCTCCCTCCCTCCCTCCACCCGCGCGACACCAGAGAAAGGTCACGTATTGAGGTCAGGTCGGGTCATCCATCATTATTATCCCAGTTTCGAATATGTGTGATTCTGATGGTGAGAAGGATAAAAAATCTCTCTCTCTCTCTCTCTCTCTCTCTCTCAAGCATAAACACAAGAACTCGCTGCCTGAGAGCTTAGAAAATACATTTATCTTAAGAAATTCTGACAGAGTGACGCCCTACTGAGCATACTGTAAATGGCAGTGGCTCTAAATGGTCCCTCCCTCCCTCACTCACTCACTCACTCACTCACTCACTCACTCACTCACTCACTCACTCACTCACTCCCTCCCTCCTTCCCTCCCTCACTTAAAATCCACTTATTAACTCTCCTTTTCTTCCCACCCTTCACTACAGGAACGTCACTTAATATTTTATTCAGCTCAGACGCAACACCGTACACAAGTGATTTCAATGTTAAGTAAATTTCACGAAGTTGTTTATTTCTCTTAAGTAATGTAAATAATGGTCTTTTTTTTTTCAATTTCTCAGGTAACAAATGATTTACAATTAGCTGTTTTTATTACCTGTTGTAAATCATGGTCTCTTAAGGCCATTTAATGTTGTATTTGCGTACCATTAGGGGCCATTAAGTCTTATATTAGAGGACCATTTTATTTACTGGAGCAAAAGGAAACAGCATGTTAGGACCAGTTAGTTAGGTAGTTACAATATACCTGTGTTTACCTTCATTATTTTCTTGTTTTAATACTTTCACTTTTATTGATTTCAACTTTCTAACTTTCTTTCTTTACTGTCATTAGTTTTTCACCTTTACCTTTAGTTTTTCACCTTTACCTTCCCCTTTTATTGCTTTCACCGTCGTTACTTCTGATACTTTTACTTTCACAACTTTCACTTATTGCTTTCGCTCTCAGAACTCTCACTTTTATTACTGTGTTCTTATCTCTCTCTCTCTCTCTCTCCACACACCCATTACCCCTTTCTTCCCCCTTCCCTCACTTCTCCCATTCTCCTTTTCTCCTTCCTCATCCGCCACTCCTTTATCCTTCCTTTTCTCCTTTCCCTACCTCCCCCCTTCCCCTTTCCTCCCCCTTCCTCCCCCCCCCTTCCTCCACCCCTTTATCCTTCCTTTCTCTCCCTTTCCTTACCCCCTTCCCCCTCCCTCTTCATCGTCCCACCACCCTTCTTCTACCTTTCCCCTCTCCCTTCCCCCTTCTCCATTACACAGGAACATACTGCCTGTAGTCAGTTATAAATTTTTTTCCACACAGTTAAATGTTTGTTTATTATTTAATGACAGTGTTTTACCCGGCTTGAATAATAATGGTGAAGGAACTGCTATTGTGTTTGAGGAGAGTGTTACTGTACTTCCGGTCCCTGTGTGTGGGGGGGGTTGTGTGTGTGTTTTATGTGGGCTTGTGGGGAGCTGGGGGTGTGTGTTGTGGGGGCTGTGGGGTTGGTGTGTATATGTGTTCTGTGTGTAAAACAAGCCTGAGAATAACCTGCCATTGAATCAAGGCAATTCTCAAATTAAACCATTGACCTGTGACTTGGAGACCTCATTAACCCATAGATAACCCTCGATGGGGAGGAAGCACGTTAACCTGATGATAATGTATGGTTATAGTGCTATCTTATCCCAGTTCCTCCTGACGACGGCTATACCAAACACCTCCTCCTAACCTGTAGTTGGTCGCCATGAGAACAACTGACACACACACACACACACACCCCCCCCCTCTCTCTCTCTCTCTCTCTCTCTCTCTCTCTCTCTCTCTCTCTTCATAACGAAACTGCCTGTAATCTCTTATCGACGTGAGGGTATGTAATGCCCTGAAGATAATTGTTGTACCGTGTGTGACATGTGATTTGGGGTCAGGGGGTCAGGGTCGGCAGGTAACGGCTGGGACGTGAATGGTATCGGTGTGTGTGTGTGTGTGTGTTTTACCAGGGAGAAGGCCATTGAGTTACTTCGTCACCAAAATGTCACACACACACACACACACACACACACACACACACAC